GTGTGTGTGTGTGTGTGTGTGTGTGTGTGTTCGTCTTACTCAGGTGAGTTGAGGTTCAGGCCCAGTGTGGTGAGGTCTGAGCCCAGCGCTAGGTGAACCATGCCGGGATCCGTCTCTGCCGCCCGGATGAACGTCAACAAGCCGATCATTCCGAACTGGTCCGTTACCATGCCGACGGGAATGTTGGTCACTCGGCCTGAGACGCAGCGTTAATGAGGAGATGGACTGCAGCGGCGGCTCGGTGGGGAGGAATGAGGAGTTTCTTACCATCGGGAAGAACCTGGATGCCTTTCTTTTGCTGGTTGTTGTTGCTCGGAGCCGAGCTTTTATCGCCGGGGAACTTGGGACCGTCGGCGCTCGAAGACGTCTTTCCCGACGAGTTCAGGTTCTGCTCGGAAATGGCAGAGAGCAAAAACTCAGAAAGGAAGTAGCTGGGAATCTTGAGCTCATCCTAACTGAAGAGTTCAGACCGTTTTGTCGTCGCTGCTGGGATCTTTAGTTTGGTAGTTTGGACCAGGGAGAGCTGGGAAATCTTCATTATGAATTGAAAAGTCCTGCGACTGTTCGCTGGATGGCTTGGTTACCATGCCAACTGGGAAGAACAAAAACAGAGCCTGATCCATAACTATATGCAGGGTTCGTTCACTTTTCACACAGAAAAAATTCACTTTTCAAACTTTTCGAGCATCAAATAAATTAACTGAAAAAGAGATTTAATTTACTATTATATAACATAATTTATTACTGTTATTAATAACGTGACATTATTCAACATTCTACAGCAGAGACAAAGTAATAATTTTAATCATTCTAATGAGGAAAGTTTAGTCTGATTTAACTTCAAACAGTGAGAAGAACAATCTGTCATTTATTAGTGCATGTAAATATCTGATTTAAATTGTAAATAACTTTTTCCAAATGTTACATTTCACTTTACAAAACTGTGCAGTTTAAAATCAAGCACTTTCAAGGACTTTATACAGAAATTCAATGATTTCAAGCATCTGTTTGAATATAAAACAACCCATGAACAGCATCAAGACAATAAATATTAAATGCAATTCAAATTTTACGTTTATGTAATAATTACAGGAAGACGAAAACACAAATGAAATCAGGAAAGGTCATTTGACAGTTTGCAGTAGTGAAATAAAAAGCTGCATGCTCGTACGGATGTTCTGTATCGTCTGTGTGTTACCGTAGGGCGCCCGGCCGGCCAGCGGGTTCAGCTGCGGGGTCGGGTTCGAACTCCCGTCTCTCCGGCTCCGGTCCGCCAACGCCGGGAAGTCGGACAGATCCAACCCCGTCACATTCTCACTGCCGTCTGGAGAAGCAGAGACAACAAACTGGCTTCAAACGCCGTTTCTACCAACTTTTACTTTTATTACTGACACTGAAATCTAATCTATTCATGTTTTGTACCTGTGCCGTTGAAAATGTTGCTGGTTAAGGAGTTGCTCATGTTGAAGCCTGGATTCCTTTTAGATAAAAGAAAAAAAAGATGAACTTCTTAACTTGTCCAAACCTTCTGCCAACAGGAGAAAATAAAAGAAAAAACAACCTAAAATCACTTGAACTATAATGAGATGATTTTTATCTCTTCAACAATAAATGAGTCATTAATTGAATAAATAAAGAAGTGAGAATCGCTGTACATTAAAAACCTATAAAGGATTTTACGCTCGACTTACGCTTTAATCAGTTTAAAGAGACCAGCTTTGGTTCAGTGAGTTTCTACAGATCAGCTGAAAACAAAATGTAACGTCTCTAGAGAAACAGTCCAGACAAACAGAGAGGATTTCAGATCATGATGGCGTCAGGAGAACCTGTTGAAGGAGAACCGCGCCTGCTGCTTGGGCATGCCGATGATGCTGGGAGACGACCTGCTGGGACTCCCCATGGTGCCGCTCCGCCCCGTGCCGCCGCCGCCTCGCTCTCCTCCGCCCGTCTGCCCCGTGGGACCGCCCACCTGCTGGTTGTGGTTCAGAACGCTGCGGCTGCTGGTTAGGGGCATGATGGAGGCCCTGCACAGGGAAGAGCCGGGAAAACGTCACATTCATCAAACCAAACATCATCATGATGTTTAAACTACAGTTAAAGAAACAGATTCTGTGTTTATTATTTCAGGATCTATATTATAGTTAATATAAAACAGGAGACAGAAAAACGAGGGATTATTTTAGAAATCGATCAACTGCATAAAATTTGTATTTTCTGCAGATTTTTACCTTTAACCACTTAAGTCTTTTTTATGTAATATTAGAAATACAATGAAAGACGTAAATAAACACATAATTAGGTTAAGTTTTAATAAGAAAAGAAAAACAAATAATAAACTTTAATTTCTGTTTCTACTCCCCCATGAAACCAAATTAAAATAATAAATTCACTGAAACAACAAGCTTCAGTTCAACATTTTAAAAGTTCAGGCTGTTTTCTAAACAACAGAACAACTAAAACACAGAAAAACCAAATCATGACAGTAAAAACAAACACAAGGGGCGAACCTGTTGGGCGACGAGGGCGTGTGCAGCGGGCCGGAGTTGGGAGTACTGGTGTGATTGGAGAGCTGGCCGGCGGGTTGGGTCAGCGAGCTTCGACTGAGCTGCGGCGCCGCGCTGCTGTTGATGCCACGGATGGGGAAACCCAGAGCGCCTGCAGCCGCGGGGAGAGACGGAAACACACAAGATGAAGCTTCTGTGTTCAACTTAGAGAATAAAACTAAAAGGTTTTATGCTAATCTGAGCCAAGCAGAGCAAAGAGGTTGGAGAGATTCATGAGAATCTGCTGATGCTGAAGAGATTTTACATGGAGGCCGGGGTGACATGTCGGCGCTGAGGCAGCGCTTTAAAGAAAACCATAAAACCTTCAGCAATGACGCTTACACTTCCTCACTGGATCTTAGTGTTGATCTTACTCTGTGGGGCGTATAAACTGGCTCCCAGCTGCGACAGCTGAGTGGATGAGGAGGAAGACGACAGCATCTGAAAACGAGAACAAAAACAAGTTCATCACTAAACAACAAAAAACACTAAACAACTACGGTGCAAAGAGCTACAGCAGAGAGAATTGACTTTTTCTTATATCGTCAAACTTTCAGTGTGTAACTCATACTAACTGGGTGTTTCAGCGTTGAAGCTGTGAAGCAGAACAGAGACTTACGTCTTTGTCGGCCCGGTGAGGAGCGAACATGGACGTGTGGTTGTAGTAGAGGCTGGAGTCGTCCGAAGCGTACTCGCTCTCGATCCCCCCCTCCATGAACTTCTTCCTGGTAGCACCAAACATTCCGCGTGTCACCTGAGGAGTGATCAGAGACGGTCAGAACGCAGGAAACTGGGCTCCAAGCGTCTGGTCACACATCTGATTCATGACAGAACAGACCAGTCACATTTCTTTAAGGTTCCCCGCAGAGAGACTCACACTGTAAAATGTTCTGATCAGATCAGGATGTGAATAATGCAGACTGGGATTTATTTATGACTCAGGAACAAAATGAACTTCTCCCTGCTGAGTAAAGCTTCATTTCTCTGTGGAAAAATTCTGCATGAACTGTTTACTGCAGTCAGATGTGCAACTGTATTTCTTTCCAGGGCAATAAGGGAAATGTTACTTTTCATGAAATCAATGAAGCTGGACAATAAACCAATAACTATATATACATCACAATCAATACCTGATCAATATCAAAGGTAATACAGCTGATAGAATATTCAAAATTCAATATATAGAATATTCACTGAACTCCAATCCAGAACAGCGGAGCATTCTGGGAGATGTAGGCAGAAGAAAGACTTTAGTCGCTCAACCTCTCATGGCTAGCTAGGCTAGGTTGGTGTCATCAACTGACTCACTCACTCTTTGGTTGCCTAGCAACAACCTGCTGGGTAACTGGCCCAGCAGCAGTTTAAGGTTTCAGCATGGTGCCTCATAACTGCTTAAAAAAAAAAACAGGAAGTGTCACTCCACCAGTTTGACATAATAAAAAAAAATCAATAATGATTGATAGACTGATATGAAACTGTTATATCATGACAAGTTTTTCAGGTGTATCATCCTGCCCTAGTTTTATTATTTTCTAGGTGAGAAGCAGGTAATAATTTCATTACTTTGGTAAATAAGCAGTTAAAGCTTCTGAAATGTAAGTTTTTAGAGCTGGTTTAGTTTTTGCAGAGCTCTACCTGTATGACTGATCCTGGAAAATAATCAGGTTAGATCAGAGATGGATGCAGATAAAAGCAGCAGCAGCCAATCGATCAAATCTCTGAGAAAATTATCAAAAAGATCAGCACTGATCCTGGAAACGTGGAAATGTGACTCCATCATTATATCTAACTGGTCACTCAAGTTAAATCAGTTCAGCCTGCAGTTAAGTATTTATTTGGTGACCTGGGAAGCAGGACAAGTGGTCTATTGAGGTAAGTTTAGGTTCAGCTCAGGACTTTCTCTGAAAAATTAACATAGCTGTTTATCCAGAGTATACATCATAATCTCCAAACCGTTCCATATTATGTGTGTAACCAACTGGAAGGCAGAAAATGTACTTAAACAGTAAGTACAAACTGGATTTAAAACATTTCAACTGATTAATATGAAAACCTTTTAGTCCAAAAGATCAGACCTTTATCATTTATACAAGAAAACTGTGACTGACAAAATGTTTCATACATTCCTGCTTTAATAATTTGGATGCAACAATATATTTTTTACTCTTTAGCTAACTTTTTTAAACATTTAAAGCAAAATTTCTCGTTGCTGATCCACTTATTCCAAATTCTCCTGTTGTAGATGAACACACACACATCCAGAGCTTGCGTTCACATGCTGGCTTGTAGAAACACAGAACTTCATAACTTCAAATCTCTCAAAGTAATCTCACATGTCGAAAAGGTTCCTGATCATTCAGGATCTATTTTCAGTTTTCCACTTGCACCTGAATATGTTATGGGATGTTTTAATGTCAGTTTTGATCAAAGCTCATCTAAATGTGATGATCAGTGTAACCTGCACAAACATTGCACCGTTTTTTCAACACATCCTGCCGGTTTACATACTTAAACACAAAAGGAGCCATAAAGCAGATGAAATACTAATCCTTGTTTCAGCGTCGATCGCCGCTTTTTCCTTTTGTTTCCCACAGCTGGTTAAACATTATGTATCTACGGAAACTAAAAAAGCTAAATGCAGACTTACTTCAAATAAAATTTGAATTCATTTGAACGACAGTTTGCAAAACAACCTGATTATAGTCCTCCAGTATAAGTTATGAAAGCGAGTCGGTCGGTTCATAAGCCTGGATGTGTAGCAAGAAGCTAAGAGATGTAGGCTAAAGCTAGCACCACAATAATCAGTTTACAAGTTAAAACGCATGAATAAATAACAACGACTCGTCACGATGGTTTGTTTGTTAGTTTGGTGTGTATAAAATCTGTTTTACCGCGTCAATGGATACGTTTTAAACGATGCTCAAAGCTGCAGCTAGCCACCGTTAGCTTGTAGCTAAATCCATAGAAAACGCTAAGTTGTTAGCATGACAGCTAGCAGTTAGCTAGCTAACTAGCCAGCCACAACTGAACCGTAAAAACATTTTTTAGGTAATTATTCACAGAAATACGGTCGGTTTCACTGTGCTCCAACAGGCAGACTACAAGAAAGAGATAAGAGCGGGAGAAAACTGTGTTTTTGTCTCTGTAATTGAAGGGGAGGCCTCCTGCGGCTCCGTCGGCTAGTTCCCTCAAAACAACAACAAAAACCAACCAACTGCTGGTTTTAAAGCTTCCTTTCACAACGTTTCTCTTCTCTGCGCAATTCATATCATCCCAGAAACACACCCTGTGTTGGTTTATAAAGAGTTTATCCCAATAAGCATTTATAAGATCAATGAAATCAGGAAAAAATACAAAAAAGGAGCTCACCGCATCAATCTGTCCTCCCACTACAAGATGGCCGACAGGATGCTGAGATGCTGACCTCTGAGGGCCATCATTCTGGTGTAGTTTACTGATCTACTCTGTAGTTTACTGAAATCAGTTCTGATTTATTACATAGTTTATTTAATAATGCTTGAGTTAGCTGAAATCTACTGTTCTGTCCCTGAACGTCACTGTCATTTATTGTAATTACTGCTTTTGCAGTGCATTAAAGTGATAGTAGCTTACTTTTCTGTAGTTTATTCAAATTTGCTGTAGTTTAAAAATGTTAATTGTAATTTACTGAATTGCACCATAGTATTAATAAACTCAATTATGATTTATTAACATTTACTGAAATTAACAAGCTTACTGATCCATGCTGTAGTTTACTGAAATCAATTCTGATAAAATGAAATGTAAATAGTTGTATTCTGCTATAGCTGACACAAATTTTCTGCAGTTTTAGTGAAATCACTGTAGTTTTTGGATTCTTTTGCAATGTACTCGAATTTAGCGCAGTTGAAAGAAGTCCATTGTAGTTTACTATGCAATAGTTTTCAATAGAATCCCTTGTAGTTTATGAAAAGTTACAGTTTATTCAACTTTCCTGTAGTTTTCAGGACACATTTGTGATTTAATATAATTTACTGTAACACACCGAACTGCTTTGTAGTTTACTAAAATGTACAATGGTCTAAAGAACTTTACCAAATTTTGGCCTACATACTGCAGTGTGATTTTAAAATTCTATTGTACTTTGCTGATTTGTGATTTAGTTTTCTGAAATGTACTGCTGTTTTTTAAACTTTATAAGGCAGTTTTGTAATTTAAACTAAACTATGGCTTACCACATTTTTAGTAGGGTATTGAACTTCATTGTAGTTTACTCAAGTCTGCTGTAATATATACTAAAACTCTAGTTTGTTGGATTCTGTTGAGGTTTACTGAACTATAGAATTTTGCTGCTTACTTTCCTCAGTGTAGTTCATTACAAATGATTTATTGATTATATTTTCCTGAACTCTGCAGTAGTTTATTGATCTTTAGCTGACTACATTAGGTCCCAGTGCACTAAACAAGACACAGTTCACAGATGTCTGTAGTTTTCAAAAACGTACAGTAATTACAGTATGTTTTACTGTTAAAAAAAAAAAAAACTACACAGTACATGCTACAATACAATTTGTAGCATGTATTTTGTTGTCGGCAACAGTAAATTTGTAGCATTTACTGTTGCTGATGGGAATTTGTTTAACTCTGTAGTAGCTTACTGTAATTAACTACAATGTTTTGAGAATTACTATAGCTCCTGCCTTTCTTGACTGACAACATTCTTGCAGTTGTTTAATTACATTTATTGTATTTGCTAAAATTTGTAACTGTTTATGTATAGTAACTATATTGTGACCAAAATAGAATGCATGTATTATAGTTTACTAAATACTGCTTTGGATGACTCTGTTCTGTAGTTTACTACATTATACTGTAATAAAACTGCATTATATTATTATATTATTGCATATTGAGCAGGGATGTCCAACTTTCCCTTCTACAAGTGCCGGTGTCTTGTGTCTTTGAAGAATACAGGAAAAGGGGTGTGAGATATATATATTCAATAATACTTGCTCTTCTTTAAAAACTAAAAATGCTGCTAAAAACTACATCCCCAGCTTACCTTTGAAGTAGTTGCCTTACTTCTAACTTACTTTAATTCATATTTAAATTTAAATTAATATCACGCTTTCATGTGTATAATTATTGCATTCCAAAAAATATGTTCTACGGTTTCCATTTGTCCACGTTGAATACAATTTGTAGTATGTATTTTATGAATTTTAATTTGAAATGTTTGCTTTATTTTGAAAGGGACTGTTTCGGGGAGTGGAAATTTGTGGTGCAAACTGAAAATTGACATGAACTCTACTGTGATTGGACAACCCTCCTAACGCTCTCTCTGACCAATGAGGGAGCAGCAGCGGTCTGTATATATAGCTGACATCAGCGTGGAACGATTATCTTCATCTGTAAAGAAAGAAGAAATATAGAAGAACATGTCTGGACGCGGAAAGACCGGTGGCAAAGCCAGAGCTAAGGCCAAGACCCGCTCATCCCGTGCGGGGCTCCAGTTCCCAGTGGGCCGTGTTCACAGGCTGCTGAGGAAAGGAAACTACGCCGAGCGCGTCGGCGCCGGAGCTCCTGTCTATCTGGCGGCGGTGCTCGAGTACCTGACCGCTGAGATCCTGGAGCTGGCTGGAAACGCTGCCCGCGACAACAAGAAGACCAGGATCATTCCCCGTCACCTGCAGTTGGCCGTCCGCAACGACGAGGAGCTCAACAAGCTGCTGGGTGGAGTCACCATCGCTCAGGGTGGTGTTCTCCCCAACATCCAGGCTGTCCTGCTGCCCAAGAAGACCGAGAAGGCAGCGAAGGCCAAGTAAACCTTTACAGCTAAAAACTACAAACCCAACGGCTCTTTTAAGAGCCACCCACATCTATCTGAAGAGCCAAATCCTGGTTAAAGTAGCGATTAAAATTTATTAATCAAAGTGTTAAGAAATAAATTCTATGTAATTTTTTTTTTCTTTGGTTCCCGCCAAATTGGGCTGTCTATGTACATTTTCTACATTAACAAAGGGCTGCTTTTCACAGCATTTATTGAGTTCTTATAAATGTTTCAGAAGAGAAGTTTGTGTAAATACTTAAATGTGACCTTGGCTAATGAAGTGCAATTTTTACAAGGACATCAACACAAGAACACCTTTGCATCCCGATTGGTTCTGGCCAGAATATAATGGACGATGTCAAAAATTGTGAAGTCTGATGTGTGGGACACAATAAATGACTGGGATACATTTCATTAGAGATGGAGACTTTTTTTTTCGTTGGGCAGATTGTTTCCAGATTGTTTGTGGTCTGGAAACAATCAGATCTGGCAACCCTGCATATAAACACAAGTTAAGTGTGAAAAGCCCTAGTCAAGGTTTACAATACTCCAAAGCAAATAAGAACATCCAGGAAATGAAACCTTGTAATCTACGAAATTTAAAACTGGTTACTAAACTGATCTTTGAGGTAATAAAAGGTTTTGTTTAGGGAAATATCACTATAACAAAGTGCAGAGATTGAATTAATGTTAAAAAAGCTGATCCTATGTAAATGAATGGTTTGTGAACGCGTTAATTTGACTCCGCTCATGCAAACCCGTTCAGTGGTCTTCTCTTACGTCCGCAGTTCTGATATAAATAGAGGTTTTTGCTTGTATCTGACCATTGGTCTTTCAGATTAAAGAGAAGAACACAATGAGTGGTCGCGGAAAAGGAGGTAAAGGACTCGGGAAAGGAGGCGCCAAGCGTCACCGTAAAGTCCTCCGTGATAACATCCAGGGAATCACCAAGCCCGCTATTCGTCGCCTGGCTCGCCGTGGTGGGGTCAAGCGTATCTCCGGTCTCATCTACGAGGAGACCCGCGGTGTGCTCAAGGTCTTCTTGGAGAACGTCATCCGTGATGCCGTCACCTACACCGAGCACGCCAAGAGGAAGACCGTGACCGCCATGGATGTAGTGTACGCTCTCAAGAGGCAGGGCCGCACTCTGTACGGCTTCGGCGGTTAAATCTACCAGCTCTTTACTAAAAACCAACGGCTCTTTTCAGAGCCACCCACACTTCTCAAGAGACGTCTCCTGAATTTTAATGTTTATTCACTGCTTTTAAAGACTTGTACTGTGCAATATAGGACTGAATTTTATTTTTAACACTAAAACGCTATTGATTTTTGGGGCTAGCATTATGTATTGATGAATTTGAGTCTAACCCCATATTGTGTGTGGAAAGTTTGAATATTATAGTACTAATATTTATAATGTATAAATATAGGGATTTATATATGTAAAAAAAATTAGATGGATGTCCAGAGAAAGTCACCCTGGGTTGGTGGACTACTCGGCATTCATTCTCAAGTAAATTAAGCCCTTCCTCACTTTTCTTTTATAAAAGTATGCATCCAAGAAATTCCAAATTATACTTTTGAGTGTTTTTGTTGTTGTAGTTCTTCCCTCGGTGATTGGAATATCCAGGAAAATTTACTCAAGAAAGGGTAGCAAGTGAAAATTATGTGGTAAAGCTTCTCCCCAAAATCTTGTTTTATCAAAAAATTACTCAAGTAAATGTGACTGAGTAAATGTAATTAATAACTAATCCACCTCTGCCATTACCTGAGACATTCCTAAAGTGAAAGGTGCAAAAAATGAAATCAATAAATATTTATGTAAAAGTCATGGACAGCATATATTAACATGTTATTACAAAATCGTATGACACCTGATAGTTTCTTTAGCATGTAAAGATATTAATACCTTATGATTTCTGCTTGAAATCTAAAAAATATCTATGTAAAGGGAAACCAACGCAGTGCTCTAGAGAGCGCTGACAGCACACAGACAGTATAACCTTCCGATGAGCTCAGCCAATCAGAGGCAGGCGTCGGCGCACTCTGATTTACATGCAGCCTCTATAATACTAAACTCTGCTCGCGCTTCCTCATTCGTTGCTGTTTCCCAGAAACACATCAGGATGCCTGAACCCGCCAAGTCTGCGCCCAAGAAGGGCTCCAAGAAAGCCGTCACCAAGACGGCCGGCAAAGGAGGCAAGAAGAAGAGAAAGACCAGGAAGGAGAGCTACGCCATCTACGTGTACAAGGTGCTGAAGCAGGTCCACCCCGACACCGGCATCTCGTCCAAGGCCATGAGCATCATGAACTCGTTCGTCAACGACATCTTTGAGCGCATCGCCTCCGAGGCTTCCCGCCTGGCTCACTACAACAAGCGCTCCACCATCACCTCCAGGGAGATCCAGACGGCCGTGCGCCTCCTGCTTCCCGGTGAGCTGGCCAAGCACGCCGTATCCGAGGGCACCAAGGCGGTTACCAAGTACACCAGCTCCAAGTAAACCCGCTGTTTACCATCTAAACCACAAAGGCCCTTTTTAGGGCCACACAAGTACAACTTGAAGCAAAAGTCCTTTTGTAGTAGTTTTATCTTAAATTTTTGTTATGCCATTAAAATTTGAGAAAAATTGTTCCACTTCAAACACCAAAATTTCTCAAACCATTTTCTATGTTTAATCTAAAAACAGTTTAATTCAGAGTAAAAGAAATGTAAAGTGAAACAAGAATTAACAAAAGGGTTTTGATCAGTACTTGCTTGATGGAAGCAAATAGTGCCTTCATTTTTCACTGTTACTCCAATGTTGCCAGCTAATTTTATGATCATACTATTAGAACTCTGGTTTTCACTTGTTTCCACTTTGCAGATTGTGCAATGGAGTTACTCAATCATTTAAAACAGACTGCACAAATATACTTTGGATTTTATTTCTACATAGGTTGAGAAAATTATTCTAAATCCATGTCTATCTCTGAAAAAGATTTCCAATAGAGGCTAAACACATAACTCCTGATATGTAATACCATTCACCTGAGACATAACGTTTTACTCATGTCAAAAGTGATCTGAATGTCATCAAAAAAGTCTAAGTGTTGTGCCCTAAAGTTGCATTAAATATTACTAATCAATATATTGATTAGTAATATTTAATGCAACTGACTATCAATTCAGTTTGGGAGAGTTGAAATAAAATAAAGGTCTACAGGAGTGCAAATAAACAATGCCGTTTTCAGTTAGCATTTGTTAAATGAGTCCATCAATCTGATTTGTAAATGCAAATTCAAAGATATAATGAGGGACTAAATCTATTTTCTATTCTGAAAAACATGAGCACATACTGAGTATGTGAATTTCCACATCAAAATCTGATATAAAATTTAGATAATATTTATTTTTATTATCTATTTGATGGGAGATAAGACATTCCTATTGGATTCTTCCAAGAGAGGAATCCTGACTGGTTTATTCATAGACAGTTTCTGTGTGTTTACTGCCGTGAAAACCATTCCTATTTAACACCCAGATAATCCAAACATGACAATCAAAATACTTTTATTCTGTCCGCAACCTTCTTTTTTATCGAGAGCACCGCGATTATGTCTTCCGCAAAATGGTTTTAGATGTTTTAGGAAAAGAAATGTGGGAAAAACTCGCTACTCGATGCACAGAATTAAAGAGATTCTGACACCTTCCAGCGCTCCTGGATCAAAAAGAGAAAGTCCTGCCAGAGAAATATGACCTTATTGTAGAGAGCGAACAGTTGTCTTTCCGTTACAGCGATAATTATGGTAGAAAACGCCACTTTAGTGGAGATTTAAAGCCTTAAATGTGGCGAAGAAAACACAAATGGGGACGCATTTCAGACGGCAGCAGAGCGGTGGCCTGAGTTGTCTCTTTACGGTTCTCGTGAATGTTATAAGTTCCGCCTCCTGCTGGACAACTTCAGAGAATCATTATTAACAGTAACTGAGAATCATGGCAGAAGTAGCTCCAGCAGCCGCACCGGCTAAAGCTCCGGCTAAAGCCCCGAAGAAGAAGTCTGCTACCAAGGCTAAGAAAGATGGACCCAGCCTACCCAAACTCATCGTGGCCGCCGTGGCCGACTCCAAGGAGCGCAAGGGAGTTTCTCTTGCGGCACTCAAGAAGGTTCTGGCCGGGAAAGGCGTCGATGTGGCCAAGGCCAACAAGCGCATCAACACCGCCGTTACCAAGCTTGTGACGAAGGGAACTCTTAGCCAAACGAAAGGAACCGGAGCATCCGGGTCCTTCAAGCTCGCCAAGAAGGAGCCCAAGGCCGCCAAACCAGCCAAGAAGGTGGTTAAGAAGAAGGCTCCCGCCAAGGCAAAGAAACCAGCCGCCAAGAAGGCCACAACACCCAAGAAACCCGCCGCTAAGAAAGCAGCAGCCAAGAAATCCCCGAAGAAGGCAGCGGCCAAGAAATCTCCCAAAAAAGTGGTCAAGAAGAGCCCCAAAAAGAGCCCTAAAAAGCCCGTCGCTAAGAAACCAAAGGCTGCTAAGAAGCCTGCAGCCAAGAAAACTGGAGCCAAAAAACCCGCAGCGAAGAAGGCCAAGAAGTAAATAACTTTTCTTCTCCAACCACTGCTTAAGGCACCAAAGGCTCTTTTCAGAGCCACCACTTCTACAAATTAAGACATGATTCCTGTAAATAATCTGTTCGTTTCCAACATGCATATATATATATTAATTGAATGTTAATACTGTGCTCCATAGGACAGCTAAATACAATTATGACTTTGATATTAACTATTCTAGAATATGCCTGCTTCAAAGTATTCATCTGTTTTCAAACAGCTGACAGTAATAAAGTTAATTAAGGAACTATTTAATATTCACTCCCTGTATTAAAACTGCAGCAAATTAAGTTTTTAGTAATTTAAGATTACAATTTTGTCCTTTTTGACAGATGGATGTAAATTACTGAAATAATTTATTGAACAGGTTTTAATTTATATTTATTCTTTAGGGTGTGAACTAAAAGGATACTGAATATTTCCAACTCAAATGAAACAGAAGAAGCAAGTGTTTTTTTTCTTTAAATAGACTTAATGTAGTTTGTTATATTTGTATTTTCTAATATGTAACGCTTTAGACGGCATTAACAAATTAGCAATGTATCCTTGGAGATCAGTAAAGTATATTTTGTTAACTAACTTGTATAGATTTTCAAATGTGTTTTTATGTGTATTATATTTTGGATTTATTTATAATGATTTGTAGTATTATTTATTTTATGTATTTATTTAAAGGGCCATGTGGAAAATTACATCTTACATCAACTACAAACAATAACTAAGTAACTAAATAAAAGATAAAAGGAACAGCATGTACATGTGTGCAGACAACTGTTTTATAAGAAAATGCTTTATGATGCAAATAATTATTGTGATGAGCAAAAGTTAAAATTATTTTAGTATTAATCATTACATTACATTTTAAAAGTAGAATATTTTGTGGATATTGTAAGGATCGTTAAAACTTGATATAAGTTTTAACGTTTTCTTTAAATGTGTAACATCCCCCCCTTCCTTTTTCGACGTTATTTAGACTTCTCTCGCGCTTTATTTTGAAAATTCAAATCTAACCAATAGCTGAGTCAGACTTGTCTCACTACGTCAGCAACCTCAGCGAATCAGAAGTGACCTCCTGCTGCCAGTCTCCTTATAAGAGCGCTATTCGCGCTGAGAACGCATCTCTTCAGCGTGAAACGAGAAGAAGACTGTAAAAAACATGGCCAGAACCAAGCAGACCGCTCGTAAATCTACCGGAGGAAAGGCTCCCAGGAAGCAGCTTGCGACCAAAGCTGCCCGTAAGAGCGCTCCAGCCACCGGCGGAGTCAAGAAGCCTCACCGTTACAGGCCCGGTACCGTAGCTCTGCGAGAGATCCGTCGCTACCAGAAATCCACCGAGCTGCTGATCCGTAAGCTGCCATTCCAGCGTCTGGTCAGAGAGATCGCCCAGGATTTCAAGACCGACCTGCGCTTCCAGAGCTCTGCCGTCATGGCTCTGCAGGAGGCCAGCGAGGCTTACCTGGTGGGTCTCTTCGAAGATACCAACCTGTGCGCCATCCACGCAAAGAGGGTCACCATCATGCCTAAAGACATCCAGCGGCCCCGCCGTATCCGTGGAGAACGTGCTTAAATTACCTCAATATAAATTACACCCAACGGCTCTTTTAAGAGCCACCTACATAAACCTTAAGACGAATATTTTTAAACTATTTTCTAATACTAAATTTATGAATGGTGAGCTGTTTATGTAAACTTTTTTTTTTAAAAGTAGAACTAAAAGCTGGTGAATCTAGCAAAAAAAATGCAATCCTAAACAGACCCCACAGTTCAAAATGAACGCTAAATCAGTTAATGTAGGTCAGTCCTTAGATTTGAGGGGGAAGAATATAAGTTCTTATCTTATGAATTACAATATATAGAACCTGTTATTTCCAAATATAGCCTTTAGTTTTGTATTTTATATTGTGACTCCTTGCATTTAATTTTAGTTGAAAGCTTAAATTCTTTTTTCTTCGGTTTAAATATGAATTGAACAGATTACAAAACTTAATAGCTTATTTTACATTTATATTAAACCTAATTTAATATATAGCAAATTAAGACATTTTTGGTGTATTAGCTACAGAACCAATTAACCAAAATGGAGAATTGAGACAAAGACAAGATTCTTAAACCATATGGAACAAATTCAAAAACTAAAGAAAATCCTATTCATGGACATGACAACTGGAATCAGTACAGATGTTTTACAGGTACAAAATTAAAAGAATAGATTAAAAGTGAGAACACTGAAAACATACAAATATTACCATGCATTAAAGCATGGAACTCCCACAATATTTCTGATTTGTAAAAGAACTTGACCTTTGGAATAAACAGAATTTCTGCTTCAAGTTGCATTTGTGTGGCCCTAAAAAGGGCCTTTGTGGTTCTGACAGTAAACAGCAGGTTTACTTGGAGCTGGTGTACTTGGTAACCGCCTTGGTGCCCTCGGACACGGCGTGCTTGGCCAGCTCTCCGGGAAGCAGGAGGCGCACTGCCGTCTGGATCTCCCTGGAAGTGATGGTGGAGCGCTTGTTGTAGTGAGCCAGGCGGGAAGCCTCGGAGGCGATGCGCTCAAAGATGTCGTTAACGAACGAGTTCATGATGCTCATGGCCTTGGACGAGATGCCGGTGTCGGGGTGGACCTGCTTCAGCACCTTGTACACGTAGATGGCGTAGCTCTCCTTCCTGGTCTTTCTCTTCTTCTTGCCTCCTTTGCCGGTCGTCTTAGTGACGGCTTTCTTGGAGCCCTTCTTGGGCGCAGACTTGGCGGGTTCAGGCATCCTGATGTGTTCCTGGGAAACAGCAACAAATGAGGAAGCGCGAGCAGAGATTAGTATTATAGATTCTGTATGTAAATTAGACTGCCCTGATGCCTGCCTCTGATTGGCTGAGCTCATCGGAAGGTTATACTGTCTGTGTGCTGTCAGCGCTCTCTAGAGCACTGCGTTGGTTTCCCTTTACATAGATATTTTTTAGATTTCAAGCAGAAATCATAAGGTATTAATATCTTTACATGCTAAAGAAACTATCAGGTGTCATACGATTTTGTAATAACATGTTAATATATGCTGTCCATGACTTTTACATAAATATTTATTGATTTCATTTTTTGCACCTTTCACTTTAGGAATGTCTCAGGTAATGGCAGAGGTGGATTAGTTATTAATTACATTTACTCAGTCACATTTACTTGAGTAATTTTTTGATAAAACAAGATTTTGGGGAGAAGCTTTACCACATAATTTTCACTTGCTACCCTTTCTTGAGTAAATTTTCCTGGATATTCCAATCACCGAGGGAAGAACTACAACAACAAAAACACTCAAAAGTATAATTTGGAATTTCTTGGATGCATACTTTTATAAAAGAAAAGTGAGGAAGGGCTTAATTTACTTGAGAATGAATGCCGAGTAGTCCACCAACCCAGGGTGACTTTCTCTGGACATCCATCTAAT